ACCCCAAAAAAAAAAAAAAAAAAAAAAAAAAAAAAGAACAAAAAAGAAAAGCCCACCACAAGGTTTGGTCCTTAACTCAATAATAAATAAATAAATAAATAAATAAATAAATAGGGGGCCAGCAGGTGGCATGATGGTTAAGGCACTGGACTCCCACATGGTAGACCACAGTTCAAGTCCTGGACCCAGCGGCTTGAAAATCACACGGGGCACATGTGTATGCATGCCTCACATTCCAAGAGGACAATGGAGGAGAAGGGATTGGGGCATGGTTATCCCCCCTAGGGGGGTGAGTTCTCACTTCCCCTCTCCCAATCTCTGTCTCTCTCCCTCTCGGGTGAACACATGCATCCTATAGCAAAAACCTTAAAAAAAAAAAAAAAGAAAGAAAAACAGAAACATCATGCTTCTCACATACCCAATTTTATTTTATTATTGTTGCGTGGTTGAACACACTCTGCAGTTAGGATCCGAATTCCCAGGCCAATCAACTTTGAACCCATACCACAGGGGGGGAAATCTTCACAGACGTGAGCTCCAACACTATATAGATTTTTCATTTCTAAATACAGTATATTACAGAAGGTTAAATATACCACCTCTGTGTACTTACAACTCTAAAAAAGATACATTAACTATGCCAGTTATAAATAATGTAGCATTTCATATTAAAGGCAGCCTCGTACAAATGAAACATCTGGAACCTTCTAAGCTATGGCTAGTGAGGTTAGTGGCTACAGTGATTTGGGAGAAAATGCTGACAATTCAGTGTCTGAAGGTCAAATCCTGATTTGACAAGTTACCGGTGGTGGAGACGGTTAAGGGTTAAATGACAGAGAAAACTAAGGTGAATTTCATATTGCATCTCTCTAGGCAGGACAATCCCATTCCGTTCGTGCTTTTCTGTATATACACGCTGGTTCTGACACAGAATCTCATCTGATTATTGCCTGCTTCAAATGAATTTTCATATATATAAGCACCCATTTTCCGATGAATAGCAATGGAAGTACCCAAAGCATACATTTCACTTTGTTGTGGTTGAAACCTGTGGGAACACTTTCATCTTCCCAAGTTAAAACATGGACTTACAGGGGACCAGCAGTTAGCGTAATGGCTATGTCGCTGGACTCGCATGTAGTCAACCACGGTTCGAGTCCCGGACCCGGTGGCTTAAACTCATGCCAGGCGCGTGTGCGTGCGTGCCCAAGATCCCGAGAGGAGAATGGAGGAGAAGGGATTGCGGCATGGCCATCCCCTCTGGGCGGTGATTTCTTGCTTTCTGTCTTTCTGTCTCTCTCTGTCTTTCTGGCAAGCACATGTGCCCTATAGCAAAAATTTCTCCAAAAAAAATGACTTGTATATCATTTGGATACATGAAGAGGAAGAGAAAAATTCACAACCTGTCAGTGCAATAGGCAGGTTGTGTGGATCAAGACCCAGTTCCTCCATGGACCCCAGGTGTTATTTGCTAAGTAGTCAGAAATGAACATGAATATATTGCATTGTCGGAAAAGTCACGGTGCGTTTGGGCATAGAAACACATAGAAAAATACATCATGGCTTTTCTGATGACTCGATAGAATTTAAAAAACAAACAGGGCTGGGGCCAGCAGGTGGCATAGTGGTTAAAGCGCTGGGATTTGCACACGGCCGACTATAGTTCGAGTCCTGGACACAGCAACTTAAAAGTCACACCGGGCTTGTGTGCGTGAGTGCCCAAAATCCCGAGAGAAGAATGAAGGGGAAGGGATTGTAGCGTGGTCCTCCTCCATGGTGGGGATGGTTTCTCATTTTCCCTCTCTCTGTTTCTCTCTCTCTCTCTCTGGTGAGCGTTCGCAACCTAGGGCAAACACCTAACAACCCAACCAAACCAGAGGCATGCTAGAATAGCAGAATTCTCCGCTGTGTGTGTTTTACTGGTCTACCATGGACCACAGGATTGGAGAAGAGGAACGGCATGGCTAATGTTTTAGCAGAAACTGTCAGCGAATACGGTGGAAATGCAAAACGGATCCAAGTCCATCGTGGCTCCGGTTCCTCCAGCGCAGGACTGAATCATCCAAGGGTTGGCTCTGCTGTTCCCGGTCAGAACA